TACAGGCTGTAGAATTTCAGGCTCCTGTCCATGCCCGTGGAAGCGATGAACTTGGCGTGGTGGCCAAAAGCCACTCCTGTGGTCAGGCCACTGTGCTCTGGTGGGGAAAACAACCCGTGGTCATGGTCCCCAGCAGGGTCAGCCCCCCAGGGTGGCATCCCCTGCACACCCAGGAGGGGGTTTTCTCCCCTCTTGCAGCCCCTCCCCAGCCCTCACCTGTGAAGTGGAGGATTTCTGTCCACTGTTTGCAGATGTAGATCTGGACATCAGTGCCACCCAAAGCCAAGTAGGTGCCACTCTGGTCAAAGATGAGAGACTTGACCTGTGGAGAAAAACAAGGAGGCTTCAAAAGAAGCTCCAAAAATCCTCTTGGGAGTGGCAGCACCTCCTTGGGAGCCACCTCTGGACCACAGTGGGAAGCACTGAGTGAGGAGCTTGAGGCCAGCCAGGCCTTGGGGAGCGGGGGGGAGGGAAAGGAGACAGTCACACACCTCAAAGTTATTGTCCAGCTGCAAAGTCTTGAAATTCTTGAGTTTCCTCAAATCCCAGAGCTTGACAGAGGAGTCATCAGCTGCTGTGGCCAAGTAGTAGCCGTTCTCCGAGAAGGCGATGCTGGTGATGGGACCTGAGTGGCCTGGGAAGTTGGCCACGTTGGTACGTTCCTAGATGGGGATAAGGGAGTCAGGGGACAGGGAATGGGCAGCACCCACAGGGCCAGGAATGCTGAGTCATCAGTGTGCTCCAGAGTTAACAGCAGGTGAAGCAGAACATGCTCTTCCTCACCCCGAAATCCGGCTCGATGGGGCAAGGTGGGACTACAGAGTGGAGCTGCCTTGGATTGAACGCTCTGCCAGGCACTGAATGGACCCCCAAGACTTCCTGGGACCCCCCCAAAGGCCTCCCTGTGCCCCCCCCCCTTCCCTCTCACCTTCAGATCCCAGATCTTGATCTGAGAATCCATCGTCCCTGTTCCAAAAATGAGCCCATCGGGGTGGAACTGGGCGCAGGTGAGAGCTGTGGAGACACAGAGGGTTGGAGGGTTGGGGCAACACTGACTTCAGCAGCAGCCCCCTCCTTGAGATCTTCTCAGCTCCAGGAGACCCCCCCCAGTGGAGAGAAATCCCCACCCAGCAACAACAGCCCCCCCGGGGTGGGGAACCTCAGCCTTACCACAGCCAGAGCTCTCATCAGTCACCTTGGTGAGGACACGGCCCGTCTGGATGTCAGAGAACGCCCAGTACTGGGGAGAGAGGGAGGTCGTGTGGAGGATGGAGAGGTGGAAAGGAGTGGGGATGGGGGCTTCTGTGGCTTGGGGAGGGGTCTCACCTGGTCATCGGATGAGCTGAGGAGGTAATCACCCGTGGCATGGAGGCTCAGCCCTGTCACAGAGCCCTCGTGGGCACGGACAACCTGCACGCAGGAGGCGTTGGGAACGGACCAGATGCGGATGGTGGCATCAGGAGAAGCTGAGAACACCAGCTCCTGCAGAGGAACGAGGCACAAGGGAAGCTGACCACCAGCACCTCCCCACCCCAGGGAAGTCCCAACAGGCCCATCCACACCCCTCTGTGAGGCAGAGATCAAAAAAGGACCCAGAAAATCCAGAAGAGGTTGAAGCTGGAGCTGAGCGCACCTGGGATGGGTGGAACACGACACTGGTGACCTTCTTGGAGTGTCCCTTGAGGGTGGCCAGGATCTGCTCCGAGCTCTTGTCAAAGACAATGACGTTTTTATCAGCCCCCCCTGGGAAAAGAAAGCAAGGAACAAGTGAGAGATGGAGGCTGGGAACGAACCAACTCCACCCACTCTTCCTGGGGATCACCACCCTGAGGGATTCTCGCAGCTCCTCACGCCCTTTACCCCAACTCTCAACCCTCAAAAACCTGGAGAAAGGGCCCCCAAGGCTCTTCATTGATCCCCCCCCCGAATTCCCTTACCAGTGAGGATCTTGTTGGTGTCGGAAGGACAGAGATCCAAGGCCAGGATTCCTGGGATGCTGGCACTGTGCAGCCCCTGGGGGAGGGAGGGGAGACACCGGGTAACGCCACGAGCAAGAAAAAAAGCCCCTAGAATCGTTCTCCAGAGGCTCTGGAGGTATCTCAGGGGGTTTCATTCCAACAGTAGGAACCTGTGGCACCTCATCCTAACCCCTCTCAAGTGGCAGATCCATCACTTTGGGATGCTGGGAAGCAGCACAGATGCCCGGAAGGGAAGGAGGAAGTTCTCAAGCCCCTTCCCACACCGTGACACTCACCACGTGTGAAGCAACCTGCCGGTACTTGCTGAGCTCCTCTGGCTTCACCAGCTCTTCTGGGACAGTCTTCCCTCTCTGCAAAAGGCAGATGGTGCTGAGATAAACACCAGGAGCCCCGGGACAGGGCCTGGCTGCCTGGGACCCTGCCAGGGAAACCAGGGCTCTTTACCTTCTTCCGCTCGGTGGTCAGCACGGTAGCCTTGTCTTGGAGCTGCCAGAGAGGAGAAAGGTGGTCACAGGTTGGCAGGGACAAGGGCTGAGGGTTGGGGTGGTACCAAGGGAAGGGCTTCTTACCTTCTGGATGATCTCTGGGGTCATGCCTGCAAGCTCTCCCAGATCCATGGACTCCCCAGCTCCCTGCAGGGGATCACAGAACCATGGTTTGGGTTGGAAGGGACCTTGAATATCATCCAGCTCCAACCCCCCTGCATGGGCAGGGACACCTCCCACCAGCCCAGGCTGCTCCAAGCCCCATCCAACCTGCCCTTCAACACTGCCAGGGATGGGGCAGCCACAGCTTCCCTGGGCAACCTGGGCCAGGCTCTCACCACCCTCACAGCAAAGAATTCCCTCCTCATGTCCAAACTCAATCTCCCTCTGCCAGTTTTAATCCATCCCCCTCATCCTCTCCCTCCCTGCCCTTGTCCTAAGTTCCTCCCCAGCTTTCCTGGAGCCCCTTCAGGCCCTGGAAACTGCTCTAAGGTCTCCCTGGAGCCTTCTCTTCCCCAGGCTGAACACCCCAACTCTCCCCAGCCTGGCTCCAGAGCTGCTTCAGCTCTTGGATCATCTCCATGGCCCTTCTCTGGACCATCTCCATGAGCTCCGTGTCTCTCCAGGGCTGGACACAGCAACTCCAAGTGGGGTCTCACCAAAGCAGAGTCACAGAAGCCCCTCCCTGACCCTGCTGCCCACACTTTTGACCCAGCCTTGTCCAAATGGAGGAGGAGAATGGAGAAGAGAGTTGGTTACACCCCGAGGGGGACAGGAAAGGGGGGAACTCACCGCCACATTGGGTTGGGAGGAGGGCACAGCCTGGGGCACGATGAGCCCGGCCTGGGGCTTCAGGGTGGCAAGAGCTGCAAGAAGAGAAAGACCACGAGGTTCAGCGCCTTCACACATTGGGTTGGGAGGAGGGCACAGCCTGGGGCACGATGAGCCCGGCCTGGGGCTTCAGGGTGGCAAGAGCTGCAAGAAGAGAAAGACCACGAGGTTCAGTCCCTTCACAAGGCAAGCAGGGCCACCCCACCCACCCCCAGGAAGCCCCTTGTCACCTTCTCTGGCAGCAGTGACCTCCTTGGTGAGCCGAGCAATGACCCTGCAGGCAGCGTCGTGCTGGTAGAGGGCGTGGGAGAGCTCCTGGCGGGTGGTCTGCAGCTGCTGGCGCAGCGTGAAGCTGTGCAGCATGACAGCGTCCTGGGGGGCAGGGCCAGGCTCAGGCAGGGGGAGGGGAGGCAGGAGGAAACCCCCCACCCTACCCGAGCACTCACCCACTCATCCTGCAGGGCTTTCAGGATGGCCGGGATGCTGGTGGCTGATGGAGGTTTGGGCCGGATCGGGTGGGCGACTGGGGAGGAGAGAGGGGTGGGGTTAGGGGTGTCCCCAGGGGTCCCACCCATCCTCTTGGGATGAGTCGTGGCTCTGAGCCCTCCAGCTTGGCTTTCCAGCCACGTCCAGCTGATTGTCTGACACCTCCAGCCCTCACGGGGAACATCCTGCATCCCTCAGGGAACAGG